ACAATCTCAATGACAATTTATGTATTATCTGAAAGACTATGTATATGCTCCACTGAATGGAGCCTAGTGTCTGTGGGTAGGGGCCCACATTCCCAATATCAGAGTACTAGGAAGTCAATTGATAAGTTGGTAAGCACAGAAGCTGAGCAAAGATAGATGAACTTAATGGAATATTATTATTAAGCTGCAACTTCAGGATTAGTTGGGCCCTGTTAAAATAAGACTATATCACACCAGAGGAAATAAAACCACAGTAAAGAAAGTAGAACAATTAATTGTTAAGCAGATGCAAAATTAAATCAACTACCCCCAAAGTCTGTCAAGGCATAGACAAAGAGTACAGAATATGATACCTAATATATAAAGAATGGCGGAGGAAGAAAAAGAAGAGAAAAAAAAGAACCTTTATATTGTGTTTGTAATAGCATACTGAGTTAAGTTAGACTATTAATTAGTAAGGAAGTTACCCTTGAACCTTTGGTAACCATGAATCTAAAGCCTGCAATGGCAATAAGTACATACCTATCAATAATCACCCTAAATGTAAATGGTCTGAATGTACCAATCAAAAGACATAGAGTCACTGAATGGATAAAAACACAAGACATGTCTATATACTGCCTACAAGAGACTCACTTCAAACCCAAAAACATACACAGAATGAAAGTGAAGGGATGGAAAAACATATTTAATGCAACTAATAGTGAGAAAAAAGCAAGGGTTGCAGTACATGTATCAGACAAAATAGACTTCAAAACAAAGAAAGTCACAAGAGACAAAGAAGGACATTACATAGTAAAGGGATCAGTCCAACAAGAGGATAACCATTATAAATAACTCTGCAGCCAACACAGGGGAACCTAATACGTGAAACACATACTAACAGAACTAAAGGGGGAAATAGAATGCAATGCATTCATTTTAGGAGACTTCAACACTCCACTCACTCCAAAGGACAGATCAACCAGATAGAAAATAAGTAAGGACACAGAGGCATTGAACAACATATTAGAACAGATGAACCTAACAGACATCTACAGAACACTCCACCCAAAAGCATCAGGATACACATTCTTCTGAAGTGCACATGGAACATTTTCAAGAAGAGATCATATACTAGGCCACAAAAAGAGCCTCAGTAAATTCAAAAAGATTGAAATTGTACCAACCAGCTTCTAAGACCACAAAAGTATGAAACTAGAAATAAATTACTCAAAGAAAATGAAAAAGACCAGAAACACATGGAGTCTTCACAACATGCTCCTAAATAACCAATGGATCAATGACCAAATAAAAACAGAGATCAAGCAATATTGGAGACAAATGACAATGATTCAACACCGCAAAATCTGTGGGATGCAGCGAAGGCCGTGAAAAGAGGGAAGTATATTGCAATACAGGCCTGCCTCAGGAAAGAAAAACAAACCCATATGAACAGTCTAAACTGACAATTAATGAAACAAGAAAAAGAAGAACAAATGAGGACCAAAGTCAGTAGGAGGGACATAATAAAGACTAGAGTACAAATAAATAAAATTGAGAATAATAAAACAATAGAAAGAGTCAATGAAAGCAAGAGCTGGTTCTTTGAGAAAATAAACAAAATAGATAAACCCATAGCCAGACTTATCAAGAAAAAAAGAGAGTCTACACACATAAACAGAATCAGAAATGAGAAAGGAAAAATCACTACGGACACCATAGAAATACAAAGAATTATTAGAGAATGCTATGAAAAATTATATGCTAACAAACTGGATAAACTAGAAGAAATGGACAACTTTCTAGAAAAATACAACCTTTCAAGGCTGACCCAGAAAGAAACAGAAAATCTGAACAGACCAATTACCAGCAATGAAATCGAATGGGTAATCAAAAAACTACCTAAGAACAAAACTCCTGGACCAGACTGCTTTACCACTGAATTTTATCAAACATTTAGTGAAGACCTAATACCCATTCTCCTTAAAATTTTCCAACAAGTAAAAGAAAAAGGAATACTTCCAAACTCATTCTATGAGGCCAGCATCACTCTAATACCAAATCCAGGCAGAGACACCACAAAAAAAGAAAATTACAGACCAATATCCCTGATGAACATAGATGTAAAAATACTCAACATAACATTAGCAAACTGAATTCAAAAATATATCAAAAAGATCATCCATCATGTTCAAGTAGGATTTATGCCAGGGATGCAAGAGTGGTACAACATGCGAAATTTCATCAACATCATCCACCACATCAACAAAAAGGACAAAACCCACATGATCATCTCCATAGATGCTGAAAAAAGCATTCGACAAAATTCAACATCAATTCATGATAAAAACTCTCAACAAAATGGGTATGGAAGGCAAGTACCACAACATAATAAAGGCCATATATGGCAAACCCAAAGCCAACATCCTACTTAACAGCAAGAAGCTGAAAGCTTTTCCTTTAAGATGGGGAACAAGACAAGGATGCCCACTCTCCCCACTTCTATTCAACATAGTACTGGAGGTCCTAGCCATGGCAATCAGACACCACAAAGAAATACAAGGAATCCAGATTGGTAAAGAAGAGGTTAAACTGTAACTCTTTGCAGATGACATGATACTGTACATAAAAAACCCTAAAGAATCCACTCCAAAACTACTAGATATAGTATCTGAATTCAGCAAAGTTGCAGGATACAAAATTAATACACAGAAATCTGTGGCATTCCTATACACTAATGATGAACTAGCAGAAAGAGAAATCAGGAAAACAATTCCATTCACAATTGCATCAAAAAAAATAAAATACCTAGGAATAAACCTAACCAAGGAGGTGAAAGACCTACACCCTGAAAACTACAAGACACTCATGAGAGAAATTAAAGAAGATACCAATAAGTGGAAATACATCCTGTGCTCATGGATAGGAAGAATTAATATTGTCAAAATGGCCATCCTGCCTAAAGCAATCTACAAATTCAGTGCAATCCCTATCAAAATACCAACAGGATTCTTCAATGAACTAGAGTAAATAGTTCTAAAATTCATATGGAACCACAAAAGACCCCAAATAGCTAAAGCAATCCTGAGAAGGAAGAATAAAGCAGGCAGAATTATGCTCCCTGACTTCAAGCTCTACTACAAAGCCACAGTAATCAAGACAATTTGGGACTGGCACAAGAACAGAATCATAGACCAATAGAACAGACTAGAGAGTCCAGATATAAACCCAAGCATGGTCAATTAATATATGATAAAGGAGCCATGGACACACAGTGGGGAAATGACAGCCTCTTCAACAACTGGTGTTGGCAAAACTGGACAGCTACATGCAAGAGAATGAAACTGGATTATTGTCTAGCCCTATACACAAAAGTAAACTCGAAATGGATCAAAGACCTGAATGTAAGTCATGAAACCATAAAACTCTTAGAAGAAAACACAGGCAAAACTCTCTTGAACATAAACATGAGCATCTTTTTCATGAACATATCTACCCAGGCAAGGGAAACAAAAGCAAAAATGAATGATTGAGACTACATCATGCTAAAAAGCTTCTGTACAGCAAAGGACACCATCAGCAGAACAAAAAGGCATACTACAGTATGGGAGAATATATTTGTAAACAACATATCCGATAAGGGGTTAACACCCAAAATATATAAAAACACACACAACTCAAAAACCAAAAAGCAAATAATCTGATCAAAAAATAGGCAGAGCATCTGAACAGACAATTTTCCAAAGAAGAAATTCAGATGGCCAACAGGCACATGAAAAGATGCTCTACATCGCTACTTATCAGGGAAATTCAAATTAAAACCACAATGAGATATCACCTCACACCAGTTAGGATGGCCAGCATTGAAAAGACTAAGAACAACAAATTCTGGCAAGGATTCAGAGAAATGGGAACCCTGCTACACTGCTGATGGGAATGTAAACTAGTTCAACTATTGTGGAAAGCAATGTGGAGGTTCCTCAGAAAACTAAAAATAGAAATACCATTTGACCCAGGAATTCCACTCCTAGGAATTTACCCAGAGAATACAACTTCTCAGATTCAAAAAGACATATGCACCCCTATGTTTATTGCAGCACTATTTACAATAGCCATGATATGGAAGCAACCGAGGTGTCCATCAGTAGATGAATGAATAAAAAAGAGGTGGTACATATACACAATGGAATACTATACAGCCATAAGAAAGAAACAAATCCTACCATTTGCAACAACATGGATGGAGCTGGAGAGTATTATGCTCAGTGAAATAAGCCAGGGAGAGATAGACAAGTACTAAATGATTTCTCTCATTTGTGGAGTATAACAATGAAATAAAAGTGAAGGAACAAAATAGCAGCAGACTCACAAACTCCAAGATGGGACTAGCAGTTATCAAAGGGGAGCGGTTGGGGAGGGTGGGTGGAGAGGGAGGGAGAAGGAGATTGACAGGTATTACGATTAGTCCACATGGTGTGGGGGGGGGGATCACGGGGAAAACAGTGTAGCACAGAGAAGAGAAGTAGTGACTCTGTGACATCTTACTACCCTGATGGACAGTGACTGCAATGAGGTGGGGGGAGGACTCGATAATATGGGTGAATGTAGTAACCACATTTTTTTTCATGTGAAACCTCCATAAGAGTGTGTATCAATAATACCTTAATGTAAAAACTGTAAATAAATAAACCTTGAGGGAGGCCTACCCCTGCATTGGGTGCTGAAAATACAAAGGAAAAAATAAAATAAAATAAGACTATACCCCAGCTAATCCAACAAAATATTCATGCCCCAAATGTGAAGCCCCTCTTCCTTAGGCAATACTGGACACACTAAAAAATTCTTATCATCAACCTCCCTTTTTTGTAAATTCTCCAAGAATTGTTTTCTTTCCTTTGGCTTTAGACATTATAATACTTCCCCATCCTTTTTGTTTCAATTGACTGGCTTAATGTTTGCATTTCCCTAGTTTATAGATTGACAGTAATTAAATTTGAGGTTGTCTGCTTCCTGGAGACCTCCAGGTAGTACTGAAAGTCTTCAGTAACTTATCCACAGTTACACCATAGGCTGCATTCTTTGGGAAAGCTTTCCTGTACATGGTTGATCCCACCCATGGTAGGTGGGTATTTGTTAACTGCAAACACAGAGCCCCTTCTGTGACTTGCTTGGTCTGTCTTGTTCCTGATCGCTTGTCTCTGTTACTTTGTCCTAAACTTACCTTCACAATTATAACTCTTGTGCAGCGTTTCCAGGAATTAATATGTAAGTCAGGGCTAAATTATTTAACAGTTTAAACATGTGCTTAGGACTCCCAGAAAAATGATTTTAAGAATTTGATTGTTCTATACACGAAGATTTGTGCATTTTATTTTATGTATTTCCATAAAAAATAATAAAAAAATTTTAAAAAGAAAAGTTTAAGTAGTCATGATGGGAAAAATTGGTACTTTGTCATATTTATTTTACTATTTATAATTGTTTTTAGTTTTAACCCATAAAAAATGGTGTTGGCCATGTAAGAACTTGTTCGTTATGCTTCAGAAGATTGGAGACTGACGAGAATTAGACTTGAGATGGATTAATGATTGTACATTGAGCATTGACCCCCCTATACTGAATTTTATTGTTGTTAACAACCATTTGATCAATAAATATGAGATGCCCTCTAAAAAAAAAAAATGGTGTTGGGAGGACATCCTCCTCTTTCCAGAGCTTAGAGCCTCTAAAGGTACTAATCTGGCCTCGATCACAGTGTCCAAAAAATGAAACATCGCATAATGATAAAAGTAACTGATGCATGGGGAATCGTTTGAAATCAATTCTTTTCACTATGTGGCAACAAAACCAGACCTCACAAAGTAGCCTCTCTTAAAGACAACATTGTATGTCGGAGCTGGATTTAACTCCCAGCTCCCCACTCACCCAATGCTGCCTCGGAAAACTCTAATTTTTCTAGGCCTCAGTTTCTTCATCTGTAACTGAGTCTTCTGGATCCTCGTGGAAAAAATGTCTGGGTAATAGCTTGTATCGACAGGCAGAAGGCAGGGTGGTAGCAGGGAAAAAGCAGTGAGGCGATACGGCTTAGCAACACAGAATCTGTGTTAGCAACACAGATTCCAGAACTATTCTACCTGGTTTGAAGTCTGCCTCATTTCACTTATCCATAAATTAGGTTGTTGTGAGAATTAAACAAGTTAAAATGGTACTCCATAGTTGCTTACTCCTGTGATGACGATGATCCCTAAGACAATATAAACAGAGGACCTAAACCCCATGGCACTTTCTTTTACCATTGAAAAAGGGAGCAGAACTTCTAAATTAGGGGCCATAATTATACACACTCTGTAAGATTATGAAACTCTGCTGCTCCCTTATGTCTGTTATGCTCTTGTGGCTCCCTGCCATCCCTGTTTCCCTCACAGGATTTTTGGTGAGCCTCAAATTAGCTTATAACAGTGCTTTTTAAGCTGACAAGTGTTACAGAGACATCAGTTGAATAGCAGTTAGTACTTTCATTTGACAACTGTTATATTGGAAAGCTGCACTCAAAAGTGTACCTTGCTAAAAGATAAACTGAGGCATATTAAGAGTTTACCTGAGCAAAAATTGATCAGAATTGGCAGTACCAAACTGGAAATGGTTAGGGGTGCTCCACTGACAGGAGCCAGAGAATGACTTATATAAAGAAGGTAGGGAGACAAAAACAGGAAATGATTTGATTAGCTATAGTTTCAGCCTAGTTAGCTGTTTGTAAGTGGTTATCCTTGGGTTACTACTTTTAAACCTTGAGGTATTTATAGGTGTAGGTTTTGGTTTGCTTACAAAGGCCACCTCAGTTGCATGGCCTCCTGGTTTAATTAAACAGTATGTAAGATTTGTTCTACTCATTGAATTCAGTTCAATGTTTCAAAATTGTTGAGACAATATTCAAGTCTTGCCCTTTCTTTAAGACTGATTGAGCAAGTCCTGCCTCTTCTAGGAAGCGTTCTCTAAACACCTCAATAATCATACCACACCCTCTTCTAATTTTCATAGCAGGAGTTCCCCTTATCTCCTTATCTCTCTGGTAGCCTGTGAAACCTTCTATTGTTACTTACCCTTTTCTGAGTAAGTTCTGTCTCACACAGATTACTCCCTAAGGCAGAGCATGAAGCTGTCTATGCACAGCACAGTTAAACATTTGCCAAGTGATGGTGTGGTAAGCAGTGTAATGGCCCCCCAGAGATATCCACATCTTAATCCCTGGAAGCTGTGAATATGTCACCGTATATGGCAAAAGGGAATTAAGGTTGCAGGTAAAATTAACGTTGCTAATCAGGTGGCCTCAAAATGGGAGATTATTCTGAATAATCCAGATGAGCCTGATATAATCACAAGGATCCTTAAAAGTGAAAGAGGGAGGCAGAAGAAGAGGTCAGAGTGAGGTGATGGGAGAAGAACATGACCGTCTGTTGCCAGCTTTGAAGACGGAGGAAGGAGGCAAGGAGCCAGGGAATGTAGGCTGCCTCTAGAAGCTGGAAAAGGCAAAGAAATGGGTTCACTCCTAAAACTTTCTGAAAGGAATGCAGTCTTGCCAACACCTTGATTTTGGCCTAATGAGACCCATTACAGATTTTTAACATCCCAAAGCTAGAAGGTAATAAATTTGTACTATTTTAGGCACCAAGTTTGTAATAATTTGTTACATCAGTGATAGGAAACTAATACAGATGGCAAGAAATGACTTTCCTGCAACTATTTACAATAGCCAAGAAATGGAAGCAACCTAAGTGTCCATCAGTAGATGAATAGATAAAGATGTGGTACATATACACAATGGAATATTATTCAGCCATAAGAAGAAAACAAATCCTACCTTTTGCAACATGGATGGAGCTAGAGGGTATTATGCTCAGTGAAATAAGCCAGGTGGAGAAAGACAAGTACCAAATGATGTCACTCATCTGTGGAGCATAAGAACAAAGCAAAAACTGAAGGAACAAAACAGCAGCAGACTCACAGAACCCAAGAATGGACAAACAGCTACCAAAGGGAAAGGGAGTGGGAAGGGTGGGTGGGAAAGGAGGGAGAAGGGGAATAAGGGGCATTACAATTTGCACACATAAAGTAGGCGGGGGCATGGTGAAGGTACTATAGCACAAAGATAAGTAGTGACTCTATAGCATCTTCCTACGCTGATGGACAGTGACTGTAACGGGGACTTGATAACGGGGGGAATCTAGTAACCACAATTGTTCATGTGATTGTATATTAATGATACCAAAATTTAAAAAGTGCATCAAACAATAACTATAAATCTATATTAATGGAACATGATGTATAGAGACATAATTTGTGACAATAACAACATAAAGGGGGAAGGATGGGGTTATAAAGGAGCAGCTTTTGTATACTTTTGAAACTAGTATTAATTCAAACTTGCTTGTTATAAAGTTAAGATGATAATTGTAATCCCCAAGATAACTAACTAAATTGAAATTAGAAGACACACATAGATCGAAATAAAAAAGATGGAAAAAGATGTTTTATGAGATACCACACACATCTATTAGAATGGCCAAAATCCAGAACACTAACAACATCAACTGCTGGTGAGGATGTGGAGCAACAGGAACTGTCATCCACTGCTGGTAGGAATGCAAAATGATACAGCCACCTTGGAAGACATTTTGATGGTTTCTTATAAAACTAAACATATTCTTACTATATGAATGGGCAATCACTCTCCTTGGTATATACCCAAGTGAACTGAAAACTTATGTCCACATAAAAACCAGTACATGGACGTTTATAGTAGCTTTATTCATAATTACCAAAACTTGGCAGCAACAAAGATATCCTTTAGTAAGTAAGTAGTTAAACAAACTGGTACATCCAGACAGTGGAATATTATTTCATTTTATATGACTATATATATAATCATGATAGCTAAAAAGAATTGGGCTATCAAGCCATGAAAAGCATGGAGGAAAATTAAATGCATGTTACTAAGTGAAAGAAGCCAATCTGAACTATATGTCATTCAGGAAGAGGCAAAACTATGGAGACAGTAAAAAGATGGGTGATTGCCAAGGGTTAAGGGGAGGGAGGGATGAATAGGCAGAGTTCAAAGGATTTTTAAGGCACTGAAATGATGATTCTGTATGATACTAGAATGATAGATACATGTCATTACACCTTTGTCAAAGTGCATAGAATGTAAAACAGCAAGAGTGAACCCTAATGTAAAACTATAGTCTTTCGGTGATAACTGTGTGTCAATGTAGGTTCATAGATTATAACAAATATACTATTCTGGTGTGGGATGTTGATGACAGAGGAGGTTGTGTGTGGGAAGGGACAGGGGTATATGGGAACTCTACTTTCTGTTCAATTTTGCTATGACCTAAAACAGCTCTAAAAATAAAGCTTATTAATTTTAAAAAATTCTGCATTTTTTGCCTATGGCAAGGGACATTATAGGCAAAGTCAAAAGAATAAATAAATGAAAGGGAAGAAATTTTCAGTGATATGGCATTTAAATAATTAAAATATATAAAGATTTATAAAATTTTTTAAAGTACACTAATTGGAATGGAAGAAATAAAACCATGTAGAAAACCCCAAGGTTCCACAAAAACTCTAGAAACTAGTAAGTGATTTTAGTGAGATTGCAGGATATCAGGTCAATATACAAAAGTCAATTGCTGGAATTCTGTTTCTGGGAAGAAGAAGTATTAGACTTCATTTAATTAGAAAAAGTAGACATACTTTTTCCTGTTTCTCCCACTAAGTACAGCTAAAAACTCTGGACACAAACAGACAAAGGAGCCTCTGAAAGGTGGAGATAAGGCAGGCAAGAGACCTCAGGATCCAAGGTACTACATGGTACAAAGTGTCTGAGTTTTCTTTCTGCCTCATATATCCTTGACTTTGAACTGAAGAAGCCAGCAATTTGGAAATGCCAATGGGTGCGGACAAAAAAAAAAGCCCCAACAAAAGCCTGCTGTCTTTATCCAATGCACTAACAAAGGGACAGCCTAGCAAGTGAGGAAACTTTAGACAATAATTATTCGAGCCAAAAACTAGAGAAAATTTGTGTTCCCACCAGACCCATGC